GTTAAGTGACTTGCCTAGGGTCACACAGCTAGTAAGTGTCAAGTGTCTGGTCTGAGGCTGGATCTGAACTCAGGTCCTCCTGACTTCAAGGCCGGAGCTCTACCTACTGCACCACCTAGCTGATCCCTAAGTTTTTCTTGATGAAGCTTCACAGGCTCTTTGTGATTACTGCTTCCTTTTGTACACATTCACAAACCATCCCTTTAATGATAAATTCTAGAATTTTTCCAAAGATTGAAGTTAGGATTACTTAGAATCTTTTCTCTGTTTTTAGTTTTCATTTTGAAACTTTGGACAACCAATCCTATAGTATCTCTCCTACTCTTCACAATCTTTCCAAGATCAGATGCTGTAATTCTGCAATCATAGCTAAGGGTTTTTCCAATAACTTCACATGTCGAGTTACTTACATTCAAAGAGAACTAGGAGTTTTCTTAACATGACCTTACTCACCTTGAATATCAATACCCTAATTAATCATATTTGTGCTATCCTTTTGAGTCCAAAATCATTTTTTTCTGTCAGAGAAAAACATGTTCTCTCAGAGGAAAAAAAGAGGTGAGAAGCTCTGCTTCCACTTCATTCTCAGTTCTCTCTTCACTCTCACCTCACTTTGCATCTGTTCTGCCTGGCTCTTCAACTCCACAGAACAAGGCATCCCTGCATTGAGTACACCCCAGTTGCTGCCCCCCCCATCCCCTCCATTTTTGTGTATCTCCTTCCAAGAGATTGTAAGCTCCTTGAGGGCAGGGACTATCTTTATTTATTTTACCCCCAGCATTTACCACAGTGCTTGGAAAATAGTAGGGATTTAATATATGTTCACTGAATTGAATTTACATAGTAGGGATTTAATATATGTTCACTCCTATCTACCTAAGCAGCAGTCCTGTCCTGTAGACATGTTATTGTTTAAAAAGTCCAAAGCGATTTGTGAATTATCTATGCATATGCACTGACATCTTTAGATAGCTTATCTTTTTATTTCATCAGATTTTTTTTCTTTGTGGCATCTGAAAATTCCTATTCCTTCTGGACTGACTTGGCCTGTAGAACATTAATTCATGGCATTATACCTATCACTTTTATTTGAATTTGTATTATTTGAAATCTGTATTATTTGAAATATCTTCTCCAATAATCTAGGTAGGCTAAGAGGGACATAAATAAATCTCAAGGTGTTGATGACCAACCAATCAGAAGGAGGGAAGCTGGCCTGTAGATCAACCTCTCCCCACCCCTAACAAACACGGGTTTGTCTCCAACACAATTACATAATACCACACCACCACACATTAATTTGGCCTGCTCTCAAGCTGTCATTCAAGAGCTGCAATGTGTGTGGTACTGAAAGGCCAGGAAAAACAGAACCTAACTTTACCAAAGTGCCTATATCTTTATAGACAAATTTTAAACTCCACCCTTTCTCCTTTCTCCCTCTTGACTAAAGCAACCTCTATGCTCCAGGGCAAGCATCTCCAACCTCCTTCTACTACTCAAAACCTACCCCTCTTGTGAACCTCCCTATCTCCATGGAGGGTACCACAAGTCTCTAAGGTTTACAGGCATATCCTTATACCTGACTTTTCTTCCAATTGGAAGTGCTCTTATCAAAGTTAGCAGATCTGCTGACCTTTTTTAAATCTTCCTCTTTCTTCTCCTTTCTGTAGCATTTGATACTGTTGACAATCGTCTCCTCCTAGATACTTACTTTATGCCCTCCAGGTTTTTTTGATAACTGCTCTCTTGGTTCTCCTCCCATCTGCCCAACCACTATTCAGTTTCTTTTGCTGGATAGCAAAATGTCCAGCTCAACAGCTGGCCATCACATCCCCAACTGCAGCTGTCCCTCAAGACTCTGTCCTGGACCTTTTCTCTCTGTGTATGCAATTGGTGATTTCATCAATTCCAGGCTTAACTTAATTATCTAAAGATCTGTGATCCAATATTATTTCACCTACATCTTACCCTTTTTAAATTTCGATTCTGTAAAAGTATTAGAATGTATATGATTATAATTACAACTGTACATGTAGGCCATTTGTAAATAAGCAAACCGAGAAAGCACAAAAAAACTTTCAATGGTAGTGGCAGAATCAAAGCAGCTTGGATATAATTGATCTAGCATGTAAGTGAGACTGTTCTCAGCTTTAAATTCAAAACCAAGACCTGTTAGACATGAGTATTTGCAAAGCACTCTCTGCATCACTCAAAAGAAAATAAGTCTTTGATTTGATGGAACTTACCTTCTACAGGGGTATATGTATAGTACACAAGTAAAAAAAAATACATAAAAAGAAAATTTAAGAGCAAAGAGTGCTAATAATCCTGAGGAAATCAGGAAAAGCTTCATTGACAAAGTGGCATCTGAATTGTGCTTTGAAAGAAACCAGGGATTCGACAAAGCAGAGAGAAAAGTAAAAAAGTTAGAGAGAGAACTTTGTAGGAGGGATCAGCCATAAGGCCAGTTTTAATGGGGACAGGCTGTGTGGAGGGCAGTCAAATGCAAAAAAGACTACAAAGGTAAGTGGGGACCAGAATAAGCAAAATTTAAATGCCAGGCTGAGAAGTCTGTATATTTCTCCCACAGGCAATTTCTGATTAGGAAGGAAATTTAGTCAGATCTGTCTTTTAGGAATTCTGGACTACAAATTCTAAAATGGAAGGGTCATTCCCACCTATCCACAAATTCACTATAACTACCAACCCAGCAGGCAATTCATTCTTCAAATTCAATTCAAAATAAAATTTATTCTTGTTGGGCTCCATTTTTCAGAGCATGAAAATTATCATTAAAGTGAACTGAAGAAATTTTAGCTGCTCTATTTTGGGCACACAAAACCTCAAGCAGATGTCTGGTAAATGAAATTCCGCATTACAAATTTATGTTGTTTCTCTACTTAGGTTCTTGATCTGTTTCTCAAATTCTTTATCTATTTCTTCCTTTTGTCCAGGAGGTCTATAGTATAAGAATCTGTGGACTATCACTTCAGGAATGGCGAGTCATGCCTGTTGGCTCTGCTGCTTATCAGGCTGTGGATGGTAATCACTTCAGTTCAAGAGTTCTGAGAGCAGGAGAGCAAAAGCAGTCCATATGAAGACCACCACCAACATAAGGAATGAACCTGTGGGTATGAACAGCCAACCAACTACCTGAGAAGGTGTGAACCGGACTAGGTTGGAAAAACACAAGGTAAAAGCTACTGTGCCCATCAGTACGGGACTCAGACCCATGAGTGGCCACTACACTCAGGGGACTGGCGAGAGGAGACCAAGTCTCAAACAAAACAAATAAAAAAGCATATAGCTTCTGTTTTTGCCTCCAGTTATCTTCCCCTAAATGATCTCTACTATACTTCCTGACCCACTAGCTCTTGGATTTACTCACACTGTAAATACTGGCCACTAGGTACCTATCTGCTGAAAAACTGGCTGAAATAGAAAGGATTGTCTGTTCCTCCAGCTCCTGACAGTCAAGAACACTGAAGGGCCTGGGCTCTTCACTCAGCTTAATGGAAGGGAATAAGGAGGGAGAGAGAGCAATGCTTTCATAAAAGTTACATGTGGCACTCTGTATGTCTGCCTCAACTACAGAACTTGGCCTTGCTAAATGAAATTAACTATGGAAATCCTGGTACATACGAATTAAACGTATATAATATAATAATCATAAAATGGCTCAGTGCCATTTTGAACTCTGTTCAAGTTCTCAGAGTGCCCCAATGCTGTGGAAGTTTATGTATGAGAGATAAAAAAATGCTGCCGGCTGATGGCCACACTCTTCAACAAACACATGCCTTCAGCATTCTCTTGCCTTCTATGATCTCTTTGCAATAATGGAATATTCCTTTCCTGGGCTTAATCTCATTCACAACACAAGTCTTCCACCAAAACAGAACAGATTTGTGCCACAATATTCCTTCAAACAACAAAGCCTTTCCAAAAACCTCTAAAGTTTACTGCTAATGAAGACTGCCGCTTCACAACACTTAGAAGGAGCCTTATTCACAGCAAGGTACCATCAACCAACATGGTACTTTGGAAAGCTAGGCTCAGGAGAAGAACCTGATGAGCTGCACTATTCTTGAGGGGCTAGACAACACTCCTGATTCGAAATAATAAAATCAACAACTCCATTGGTTAGAGAACAGAGACAGTGACCACAAGTTCAAATGCTAAAAGGGCTTTATTGCTCTTGCTCTACCCAACACCCCTCTCCATGGTTACTGAACATATTACAATCCCTGACTAGACAACCTATAAATGAACTCTGTAAATTAGCTTCTTGAGGGCAGGGATTATCTCTTGCTTTTCTTTGTATTCCCAGAACTTATGGCTATGACTAGGGTGAAAAACAGGAACCTGGAGAGAGCCTATAGCCAATTGTTTCTGAACTATTTCTCTCTACTGGAAAAAACTCTAAATACATACCCTACTGACAAAGGATCCAGTTTATTTTCTTAACAATGGAGGGGGGGAAAAGAAGACTCATTCTCATCCAAAATTAATTTAGGCCTCAATTTGAATAGGTAATGCACATGTACTGATAGAAATTCTCATATACATTGCTGGAAAGGAATGGTTTTAACTCCCTGTAAATCCACAGATTTATTAATGATTTTAATTACTAATTATCAGGTATAATTAAGGTAAAGTGTGATAAAATATAAAGACACAATATGATTTTTTAAAACCCTGAGAGAACTGATTGGTGACAGACTATTACCCAAAGAGTGGTAGGATTTTAAAGCTGTCTATACAAAAACTGACATTCAGAATTATGTCAAAAGGCAAAGCAGTCAAACATCCACCTCTTCACGTCTACAAGTCATGCCATGTTTGATAGGGTGTAAAGCATTAAATGGTTATATACTTTCATGCCAACACACCAACAATACATAAGGTCAGCTGGAATCAGTACAGAATTAACACACAAGCTAGTGCTGATGATGCTTCAAACCACAAGCACACACCATTCCCCAGCTTTGGCTGGTTCATACCATATGCTTTCAGATGCTTAGGTTTCTCTCGATCCAGAACAGCAGGTCTCAGCAATGGGGGAGTAAGTCCCCTTGATTTGGTAGGTCTCATGTAACCTTTCAATGGTTCTGCCACTTTGCTTCTCACTTCTGTCTTTCCATCACCCAGTGCTCTCTGTCCAGATTTTTCTGTCAACTTCTGAGGTACCTCTAAGATTGTATCTTTAGACTTTGGGGACTGAATACTCTTAATAACAGCTGGTAACAAATCATCTACAACAACTTCCAATGGAACAGTTTCTTCCTTAGTATCTGACAGATCTGCTGAGAGATCTGAGGGCTCCAAGAAGCTACCTTCTTGGCCTGTATTTTTACAACCAGGGCTGAGTTTTTCCTTTTGGGTTTTTTCCTGTTCACCAGGCACAACAGTTATATCTACTTTGCCAGCTGAATTTCCTAGGTCCTTGGAATCTAATCCTTGACTAGGCTTGTCCTCAAGAAAATCCAGTTTTTCACTTGTATTGCGTGGCAAAACTGCATCTGAAACGAGGGCTTTCCCTTTCTCCATTTCTTTCTCTAAGGGCACTGGGAAAATGCTTCCATCTGCATTCTTTTCATCCACACTTTTGTCCTCCAATCCTAGACTTGCATCTTCTACTGGCATGTGAAGATGAACCTGTTCCTTTACTGGCTCTCCCTTTTTCTCCTGGGGCCACTTGGGGGTGTTATCATCCACTGATCTCAGGAAATTGTTTTCTTTGACTTTCTCATCACTCTCTACTATTGCCCGTCTTCCGTCCATCCATGCTTGATTTTGTAGTGGGTCATTATGCTCAGGTAAACTGAATTTACCTTTTTTCTTAACGCTGTGATTCCTTTGGTGTTTCTCAGTTTCTGTGACCTCTCTAACATCTGTAACAACTGCTACACTGGGAAGGGAATCAAGTGGGGGACCCTTTCCTAGGCTACCTGCTCTTTCCTCACCCACAGCTATATCTTTCCTGGGGTCATTTAATGATGGTAATTTAGAAACCTGTGCCTTACAGGTCTCTTTCCGACTTTCTGCTAAGGCATCTGTAAGAGAGCTACTCATCCCTGCATCTGAGAAAACTAGGGATGGTTTACCACAAACCTCTGATTCAGACAAAAAGGAAGTCTTGAGTGTGTCTGTCTCACTGGCTGCCCAAATACTTGGTGGTTCTGAACAGCAATATGTGATATTTCTGTTTTCATCCACACAGCTCATCCCCTCAACTTTAACTTCCCCTCTGGTTTCCACAGGAACCTGTACTCCAATTGTACCTGGTTTACTCTCTAGGAGAGGCTGGGTATTTTTATCCTTTTTGCTTTTCCCATCAATACCTCTTTTCTTTGGTTTGTCAGGCACTACAGCTTGACCCATAGTCATTTCTACCTTACCTTCCATATGCTGTCCTGAAGAGGGAGGTCCCAAAGGAAGGGTCTGTTCACTGAAGCTAACAATTGTTCTGTTAGCATCCAGGACAGTGGAAGTAGAGTGCTTGGCAGTGTGCTTCGTGTTCTCAACAGGTGTCTGGGGCTCGGAAGAACTAACCTCAGTGAATCTACCCTTTTCACCCACTGACTGCTTTCCAGATTTATCAGAAACTCCTAAAAGCAACGGATCAGAAATTTTGGAGGGAAGGAGTGCAAACTCCTTGTTTTCATCAGAGAAATCAACCTGTTTGTCCTGATTTCCATTCTTATCTGCAATGGGCAGGATGTGTGCATCTATTTTGCTCTCCAACAAAGTAGGCTGTCCAGAATAACTTTTTTTAAATTTTTTGTTCTTCCCATCACTACCCCTCTTTTTAGGTTTCTCAGTAACTTGGAGAGCTGCACAGGAGTCAGGGGGACTTGCCAAGAGACATTCAGAAACAGGAGACACTCCCTCCTTGTTCTGCTCAGTAATACCCTTTTCTTGGCCTTTAGCCTTATGTTTCTCTACTACAGGTGGAAGAATTTTACCTGTGTCTATCTTATCATCCAAAGGGCTTACTACTTTTGAGGTACTTTCAAGGTCCACAATTGAGTCAACTTTCTCTCTAGTTTCCTCAGTCACAGTCTTAATGAGACTAGCCATGGTCTCTAAAACCTGATTGGAAGACATAGATTCTACCCCTTTATGCTCACTGTGGATACTCATCTCTTTCATTTGGACTGTTGCCCCAAGATTTGCAGCATCCTTCTGTGCCTCCAGAATGAATGGAGGTTCTCTATTCTCTCTCATTTTTCTCCCTTTACAATCACCAATTTTCTCAGATCCTTCCATCCCTTTATGAGGGATAGGACCTGGCTGCTCAGAAGCAAGGTGTCCCACTTCCAGGCTCTGCTCAGGAAAAGCTTTGTGTGCAAGTGTCTTGCTTACACTCGGTTCCACTTTATTCTTTAAAAGACTTGGTGATTTTGGTGCACACTGGTCACCTGTTTTGCTTTCACCAGCAATGTGCTTGAGACTATTATCTGTCAAAACGCCTGCCTCTACTGCTGCCAATTTAGTCTGCTCTTGGGGTGTCACAAGTTTTGAAACCACATCCTTGGATTCCTGATTCACGTTAGTAGTAAATCCTCCTTGTTGAGGTTTGGCCTCAAAAGGAGCTTCTTTTTGTTTGCTTGGAGAAACCTCTGGACATTCTGGCTTCAAATTCAGCACTCCCTCTGTGTGTGCTTTATCCAAAGCAGGCTCCAACGGAGGTGCCAGCAGCACCGAAGCAGGATCTTCACCTCTACTTGGCTGGGGCTTACATTCAAGAGGTGGAACCTCCTTGCTCACTGGGCTCTTGCTCTGTGATGACAAGCTGACCTCTTGGATCTCTTTGACTTTAGTGGCGCCCCTTTCTTCCTTTGTACTCCCCACAATCTGAGGATGGCTTTCACTTTTAAAGGATTCCTGGGCAGGACTCAGTGAGGTACTCAAGCTCTCCAAGGCAGAGAATGCAGTCACCAGTTTGGCTTCCCTCGGGCGAGCTATGGTTCCTTTTCTAGAGCTCTCTTTGGACACAGGCCTGTATTCTTTAGTCATGGCAGTAGACTGCCCTGGTGTAACACCTGGCTTTGGTGAGTCAGCTCCTGTAAGATGAGCTTTGGATACCTCCGTGTTTTCATCCCAAAGTTCCCCGACTGGGGGTTGAAGATAGCGCTTTTGCTTAGATTTTTTCTTCTTTTTCTTCAGTGCTGCCGGTGTGCATTCTACATCCCACATCTCTCTTCCAAGGTCCCTTCGAGATTCCAGGAAATCAGTATGGGGTGTCTTCCTATGGGGAAACCTGGATCTGGAGGAGGAACCAGTCCATCCTGATTCTGACCAAAATAAGGGCTCCAGTCTTTGATCAGGAATCTTCTGCTGAGAATTGCTTCCCACCAGCTCAGTGGGCACATCAATAAGAGATATGGGCTTGGGAATACCAAACCTGCGGTCACTGGGTTTGAAAACTTGTTTTGCTTGTGCAGTGGGGGCACCTGAAATATATGAAGTTTGCTAAAATTCGAAAACAAATGTTTGTTCTGTTTTTCTTAAATCACTTATCAACTTATTAATCCATTTTTGCCAAACCATTTAGTAATTTCTTTACATAAAATGTTTTTACCCAAATTTTTTAAGGTTTATACCCCCACAACAATAATTAATTACGATCTTCACCTCTTCAACCCCATCAACGAATAATCTTAAGAACTGAGTAATGCTATCATACTTTAAGAAGACATCAAAACTCAACCTTTTTTCCTCCATTTTCTTCTACTACAGAGGACAAAATTTCTGTACTCCCAAGCTAAGCAAAGCTAATGAACTAAACTTTGAAATTATGGTTAAGTCTAAATGCTCTCTTGGAGGGGCAGAGAAAAACTAAAAAAAAGAAGATGGAATACAGCTGCACACAACTGCAAGAATAAAATAAAAGCACAGAAAATATTCTGGCAAAAAAAAATTTTGGAGGAGAGGTTCAAAGAACACAAGTTTTCATGTATTACTTTAAAAGTCTTACTTAATAAATTAATCTTTAATCAACTCAGGAGTGATACATTTCTCTCAAAACATATGTAACAAAAAGCTCGATGTGACACATTTTTGGAATGAAGAAGGAAAAGGCTGTTCTGTTTTGTTTTTTTTTTAATTTGGCAACAACGTACTTTACTAATTTTGAAAAGTAGTATACTATGTGGTACACTTTCTCTGATAAAAGAATAGAAATGCCCAGAGCAGAGGTGTAGTTTGAAAGGTAATAAGGAATATACAGGGAGGAGAGCATTCAAATTTTTTTAAAGACAAGAAACTGGTTTGAGAAATTAAAGAAAGCATTCACAAGTCAAGTAACAGGCCTAATAAAAAGTAAAACTTGTACCAGAAAATGGTGTCCTGAAAAATCACCTTATTCAAAGATGATGCTAGAACTGCAAGAAATGGTATAAAAGACTCTGGGGAAGCTGGCCCAAACAGATATCAGTTTACCTGTAGGCTCCAGAGGAGGCTCTGAAGATGAAACATGGCAGCGCTCAGTCTCTCCCTTTGACTTTTCTAATTCAGTGAAATCAAGAGAAGGAATGGCTTCTTCTAGTGGGGATTCTTTAGTTTGGATTAATGGTGTTGTATTCAGTGTTTCAGCTAGAATAGGGTGATAGGGGGAAAAAAATGGAAGATTTTAATAAGAGAAGCACCACTAGTTGGGGAAAAAGAGCAGACACCAGGGCTATCTGAGCTCCATCCTCATTTCTGTCTCTGAACTTTGTTTCCTTCAAAATGCAATCTTTTACAATGTTGGCTGTAGATTTAAAGCCTTTCTTAATCCTCCCAGTTCCAAATGCTATCTCCACCAAAATAACTTGGTATTCATTTTGTATGTACAACTGTCTCCTCCAATAGCAAGTCAGCTCTGTGGGGGCAGTGAGTTTCACTTATGCCTTTGGATCCCCAACGCTTACCACATTACCCGGCACAAAGAAGATGCTTAAAAAGTGCTTGTTGATGGACTCATTGCAAGATTACTCAATGCAAAAGAAAATCCTCAAATCTTCCTTTAACATACAAATTTGAAGATTTCCTTAATTACTTGACAAACTAAGAGCAATCTGTCATACAAAAACTCATGTTAAACTAATCTGTAATAAGTTTCACAACCAAATTTTTAAAATGAAAAGAGAAGACTGTAACTGGGATTCTGTTTTTCTTTGGTTGGGTGAATTTTTATTTAATAAAAAAAAGAAAAGATAAGATAGTAGAGAGGAAGTAATCTCATTTGGGAGTTCCCTATACTAATGAAATCACAAGTCTAGTCCCCACAACCTATCCCTTCAAAAATTCCATGTCTTTTTTGTTCATGTCCTACCCCATGCCCTACACTGAAAGGTCTCCTTCACCAATGCTCGTTAGCATCTTCTAAAATCTATAATTTATTTCAAGGCCTACTTTAGGCCTTCTCTGCCCCCTACCCTTCCATAAATACAAAAATGATCACTCTGTTCTCATATAATGCACAGCACTTTCCCTGGATCTATCTCCTACACTTATAACATAACTCATTATAACTTATAAATCATTTTCCTAGTCAAATTATTCCTCTCTTCTACTACATTATGAGCTCCAAGAAAGCAAGATGCATGTTAGATATATCTTTCTATTCCTAGCACCAATCATTCCTTGAACACAGTATGGCTTTACTAAATGTACAGTGAATTCTGTTTCTGCTTACCTATAATCTCTGGAGAAGTTATCAGGGCTTTAATCTCTTCCAGTTTCTCTAAAGCTTTATCTTCTGCAGGAATTGAGGTTTCTGGCAAGTATACTTTTTGTTCTATGACTGCAACTGGTTCTAAAGGTACTGTTTAAACCACAGAAGTTTAAAAAAATTTTAATTAATTTTCTGAGTGAAAAAGAGCTAATAAATCTTTTATGTCAATCTCTATAACACAACTATGCCCAACATATTCCTCTCATAGCAAATTTTCTCACTCTATCTTCATAAAATATTTTACTCACGTTGTTAGGCCACGTATTAGAAGGACAAGCTAAATTAACATTAATATTTTAATTTAGTATTTATTTTCCAAAAGCCCACATACTTGATATGAACCCTGAGACATTTCGGTGCTCAGAATTCATTTGTCAAATTTCTTTTCTCTAGAGATGAAGCCTATGTTTGGAGTCTTATCCAGCTCTTATTGAATGATATCAAACGCTACCATCTAAGGACTTGTTTGTTTTCTTTTTGAAAGGTTATGAGAGCAAAGAAATTTTTTCATGCTTTACTAGGAACCCTCCTCAGCAACTTTAAGGATTCTCAACCAGCATGTTCATTTGTTTGCTTTATGCTTTTGCAAGTTTATGACCAAAGAAAAAACATATTTAATATGCAGACTCAATCACCATTTTTGTAGAATTCCTGAACAGTCTAACTACATATTTGGAAATTTTAAAAGTATTCAGCAGGATCAGAGTAAGTTATTCAAATCACAACATCTTACCCTTATAACCCTCTCCAGGGTATGACAATCTCACCACAAGCTCCAGAAATACGCCCAAATAAAAAATTCTAAGATTCTTCCATCTTTTCCAGCAAGAAGTAAAAACCATTATCATTTTCAAAATGTACCTACCACTCTCATCCATTTCATGGCCTTTTTAAAAAGCCAGATGACATAAGGAACTTTTTCCCCTTACCTTCAGTAGGTAAAGTTGGGGAATTCTCAGGGCAAGGTTTAAAAGGATTCACTTCAGCTACAGGAACAGGAGCTGCAAAAGTCAAATGAAACAAAGTCATCAACATCTTCAAAACATTAATCGGTGTATGTGCTTATACATACCTATGTTATACAAAAAATAATACTCCAAAAAAGACAAAAGAATGAGAAAAAATCTTGATTAGAAAATTAGGCAATTTAAATCCTACTCATTCTACTGCTGCTTTACAGCCCAGGTTAAGTTAGGTTCTCATTGACATAATAATGTTTGCTGCATTTCCATTTTATGAGGACAAACATCTCAGTCCTCTACTTAAATGCCTCTCTAGATCCTCTAGGATATAATATAAACTCCACTGTTTGTCCTGGATTTGACCTGGATCAAACATACCATTTCAGCCTTGTGACCCATTGGTTCCCTTCAACACACACAGACTCTTGTCACTCTGTCTCTCGTTTCGACCTTAACTGACCTTGTTAGTGACATAGTATTCCACCCCTGTTCCCTATGACACTGTATAAGCTGCCCTCTCCCCCTGGAACACAATATTGCCTCATCTCTGCTTGTGTATGGATCCTTACTTTTCTCCAAAGTTCAACAACAAACTGAAGAACCAAAACCCACATTAGACCTTTTCATCATAATCTTTCCCTTTTACCACCTTGACTCCAACACAGCTAGTGTCTCCCCTCAAAAAAATTACTTTGTATTTGTTTTGTGTACATGGATATGTGTGTGGCCCTTTGAAGTGGACTTAAGCTGCTTGAATGGAGGGGCTATTTTATGGTACTTGTATCCCCAGCACAAGTGCCTACAGCATATGGTACAGACTAGATAAATACCGCTTTATTTATTGATAAGTAGTATGACACAGTAGAAAAAGCATTGTACATGGTAACTGCACTGGATCTAGCTGCAATGGGTTTGTCACTGAAGGTCTGGTGAGCAAAGGAATGACACGGTCAATGTTGCGTTTAAAAAAGTATCACTTTGGTGGAATATGGAGGACAGATTGGCCTAAGAGAGATAACGTACGGCAAGAAGACCACAATGATGAAGCCACAGAAGTAGTTCAGGGGTTAAGTTGAAAAGGGCCTGACATGGTCTAATGGTCATCATTTCAATGGAGAGAAGGAGACGACTGTAGAGATGAAGTTCAGGCAGAATTCAAAAGACTTGGCACCTAACTGGATATACAGATGAGTGAAGAGTCAAGAAGGATACCAGGGTTACACATCTGTTTCACTGGCAGCCTTCTTTCACTTCTCAGGCTCTAAATGCTCGTCCTCCTCTCTGTACTCCTACTGTATTAACAACTTTATCGTGCAATTAATCATATACTACAAGACCACCTTCACTTTCTCTCTTCTCACTCTCTTTCTAACCCTGTACGATTTGGCTTTTGATGTTATCATTAGAACAAAATTACTCTCTCCAAAGTTACCAATAATCTCACTAAGATCAAGTTTTCTGAGGCAGCTAGGTGACACAGTGGATAGAGCACTGGCCCTGGAGTCAGGAGGACCTGAGTTCAAATCTGGCCTCAGACACTTGACACTTAGTAGCTGTGTGACCGTGGACAAGTCACTTAACCGAGGAGAGGAGATGAGAGGAGAGGAGAGGAGAGGATCACGTCTTCTAATCAGATGTGTCTCTCTGGGTTCTATCAGGACTTACCTGACTGCTATCTCTCTGTGACTTCATTTGGTGATTTCATCAGCTCTCACAGATTTACCATTTCTTCGCTAATGATTCTCAAAAATCTACTTCTCCTGTCACAACCTCACTGCTGACCTCTGAATTTGTATCTCTAACTGACTTTCAGATATCCCAAAATGGACATCCGTCTTGATCTCTAAAGTGCTGTCTACTTGAGATTACACCACACAGATTTTAGGAGCCCAAGTGAGCAGTCTGTGGACTTTGTCCAGCTCTGTTCGATAGGGAATAAATAGGGATTGAAGGAAATGGATGACAGAATTAATCCAAGGTTGGGGTTTGGCAAAACAACGGAGTTTAATTAAGAAATGGACAAGGGTACAATGGATTAACTGATTCATCAAATAGTTGAGATTGCAAAGAGAGGAGAAAACACACTGCCAATGTTGGTGGGTGATGGCTGGTGAAAAAACTGAGGTTTGGAAGGACTAGAAGTCATAGTAATGATGAGTTAGAGGTAATAATGCTTAGGGAAAGACGGTATGTTAAGAGATTATAATCAGACAAACAACTTTAGAGTTCATGAACATGGAAGTAGAACGCTCATGAGATAATGGTAAGTAAAGTACTATGGAAACTTTAAAGCCCTATATAAATGTTAGCTGTTAACAAAACAACAACAACAATAATAATAAATAACAAGATCAAATGTACGCCCATCTCAGTGCTCAGCTAGGTAGAATGGAGAAATAGGTTATGGTTAACTAGAAAGTCAGAGTATTTGAGGTACTATCAATATATGTAACACACACACACACACACACACACACACACACACACACACACACACAAATATCTAGTACCCCACTGTGATGGCAGGAGTTGAGGGTAGAGAGAAAGTACAAGCCTTGCAGAGTGCCCAGTCAACAAATACATGCTAAAAGAACTAAGAGCACAACAGGGCAGCTAGGTGGCACAGTGGATAGAGCACAGACCCTGAAGTCAGGAGGACCTGAGTTCAAATCCGGCCTCAGACCAAACACTTGACACTTACTAGCTGTGTGACCCTGGGCAAGTCACTTAACCCCAACTGCCTTAAAAAAAAAAAAAGAACTAAGAGCACAACTGTGAAGGTTTATTATCTGGCACAAAATGGAACACTGAATGTAAAGTATTCAAGTACCAAGGCTTTATAAGCCTTCATGTTTCTTCACATTTCTTTTTTAAGGCAATCAGGGTTAAGTAAGATTGCCCAGGGTCACACAATTAGTACGTGTCTGATGTCTGAGGCCAGATCTGAATTGTCTTCATGTTTCTTACCCCCATCTTACCACTGGAATTCTTGGACCTTTAGCTGGAGCTTACTAAGTCTTTCTCTTAAAAAAGAATGCTAATGGATTGGTTTTACCTCTACAAATAGTAAAATATCAATGAATGTGAATGCAAACCCATCCAGGAACTACTAATTATGGTAATTAAAATGGTTTGCATATATATATTCTAAGACTGCTGAAGGAAGAAGCCTGGATAACCTGTAAAAATGTCATCCCATCAAGAATTCAAATGGAGAAGAATGAGGTCTATTGATACTCATCCCAGGGCACAACTGACTATAAAGTTTACCAACCCCAGGACAAAAAAAAATGATGTCTGTGTTTCAACTTGGCCACTAGGGATACTATATAGCCTGTTAGAAGGGACCACTAGCCCACTTATATAATAAGAAAAGGTTTTTTTCCCCCATAGTAACTTTTGAAAGAAACAACAGCTTTTGATTCAATTTGTTTAATTTAAGATTATCTAAAAGGCAAGTTTTTGGTTAGGCATATCTTTTGTTGTTTTTAATAATGTTCAACAAAATTTGACAGACAAGTAGAAGTTAGAGAGAAACGTGACTTACAGGGAAGAAAATTCACTCTGCCACCTCAAAACAAAACTCTTAACAGTGATCACAGCATTTTATTTAAGCCTGGTTTTTATGCTAGATAAAATCTCTTCCCATATCCATATTTGCTGATGTGCATCTTGTTCTCCTTTACCCTTTCAAGAGACCAACAGACTACATCTTATGCTTGAGAACCTGTCGACATCTTTATTTTAAAACTACATTTACCTTACTTTATCTAACTCACATACCCTGAGAGTCTGAGAGCAGAAAACTCCAAGACTACTTAGCAACCAAAGAAGCACAGCTCCTACATGTCTGTGAGAGTTCAAGTTAAGTCACTTAACAGCCCTGGCCTCCAGCTCCATCATTTATAAAATAAGAGGGGGCCAGACTGATGGCTTCCAAGGTTCCTTCCAACCCTAAGTCTCTGATCTCTTTATCCGGGTCCAAACATGACAGAGCTGTTTAATTCTCTTTGTCCCTAATTTTGCAGTGCAGCACAAGGTCAGGAGAATTGGAATTAGCATCCATAGGGTTTAATGCTAAAGAAAACCTTAGAGATTCAGTTCAATCTCCTTATTTTGCAGTAATGAAAAATCAAAGTGATCTGTCCAAGGTCACACAGCTTCTAAATTAAACAGCTAATAAGGAAAGAGTGAAGCTCATCATGCCTTAAGGACTCCAAATTCAGTGCTCCTATGTCTATACCACAAGATCTCTAAAGCTGGTTCCCTTTAAGTCCTGCACTTACCTGCTTGTTCAAAATGATCCATATCAGCCACTTTAGAATCTGTTCTTGGTTCTGTATTGGGAGAAACAACTCCCTGCAGTTTCTGTTCTTGCAGTGTTTGCAAACCGTCCACGCCAGGTATCTTAAGGGACTCTGAATAAAGAGCAATAAGAAATTCAGTTGATGCACTGTAAAAGCATCATGTGAAAACAGCCATTTGGATATTCAACAAGGGAAACCAGAATGTCATTTAGATACATACCCGTTCTCTTCACTACAAGAACACTGAGCACATACTAGCTTTCAAAAAATCACCAGGAGGAAATTTGCTTCTATCTTTCTTCTTTGGCAATCTCTAACGTTTAATGAATGCAAATGGTATGTTCAGTACCCACTGTTAATTATATTTCTATAAATTTTTCTTGTCTCCATCCAGATTATAATCACAATTTTGAAATAGGATCGTATTTTATGTTCTTTTCATCCCAGTCAACCAGCAGTAGAACCTCAATAAATGCTTGTTAACAAAGTATATGTGTAGATTTGCATGTTATCTTCCCCACGAGACTGAGCTCCTAGATGGCAAGGACTGTCTTTTGCTTCTTTTTGCATCCCCTCAGTACTCAGCACGGTACTTGGTACATAACAGGATCTAATGAGTGTTTACTGATTGATTTTTTTTTTTGTGAAGCAATTGGGGGTTAAGTGACTTACCCAGAGTCACACAGCCATTAATGTTATGTGTCTGAGGCCGCATTTGAACTCAGGTCCTCCTGACTCCAGGGCCAGTGCTATATCCACTGTGCCACCCAGCTGCCCTCTACTGATTGATTTTCAATCTACTTTTCTTTTGACTCACTTCTAGCTCCACAAAGTCATGTTTATTTCTGAAGAACAATGACAGAATAAGAAAATTCCTAATTCCATATCTAATCTCTATTATTTCAGAGAAAAATCAAAGATTGAAACCTTCCAATCTCCACTAGGAGCCACTTCACTGCCTAAAAGAGGAAGAAGAAAATAACTAGCCACAACCATTTCACATACAAGGAAAGAACAAGATCATTCTTAATTCTACCTCATGTGCTTTTCCTCTCTTCTTCCCATGAGGGAATTCTAATTCTATGTATTCCTTGACTAAACTAACTTTATGATCTAGGGGTAGAAGCTCTAGCTAATTCTTCAAACCGTATCTCAACAGACAGTGTGTGTGTGTGTGTGTGTGTGTGTGTGTACACACACATACAATACACACACATACACACACACCTCAAGAGCTAGAGTAATCACATCCACCCTACCTGGTGAGGCCATGAAAGCCAGACTCCCTTCTGCCTGGGGAGATGCCAGTCTCTGAGCTTCATTCATTTTCTCTACTTTCACCTCTTTGCCTGGTGTTGTTACAGCATCTATCTCCTCAGTCAGTGTCAATTCCATGGTTGGTGCCTGCTGGGCTTCTTTGGTTGGTTCTACCTCCACAGCTGCCATCTTCACCACCTCCACAGCTGGTGCCACCTGGTGTTCCTTGGCTGGTATCACCTTGATCTCCTTGGCCAGTTCCATATCCACAGATGGTACCTCTTGGGTCTGTTGAGTTGGTGCCATCTCTGTGGCTTGTTCTGCCTGAGTCTCTCTGTTTGGTGCTACCTCTGAAGTTGGTTCATCCTTCACCTCTTTGACTGATGCCACCTCCATAGCTGGTTCATCCTCTATCTCTTCCTTGACTGATACCACCTCCACAGCTGTTTCACTCTTCACCTCCTTGACTGGCGCCATCTCTGCTGCTGGTACTTTCTCCACTTCCGTGGATGGGGCCAGGGACATTTCCACCTCCTTCACTGATGGTGCCTCTTTGGTTAATTCCACCTCCATCTGTACCTCCTTGATTGGTTCTAAGTTAAAAAAAAAAGTTCAGATGCATAATTACCTATCATAGAAGTAGTGAGCTTCAAAACTAATCTTTTCAAGGAACAGAATACTTTTTCTCATGGGGAGGTAATCTTCTCATAGTTAAATCAACTAAGCTTATGGCCTATTCTCTCACAGCTCCTAAAAGTGGTTATCAAAACAAAATAGGAAAGAGATAGTTATCACTGAAATAAATAAGAAACTAGAGAGATCAGGTCTCTGCGGGTCATCCTTTCCTGTCAGGGGAAATAAAATTACCCAGAATTTGAAACCTGCACATAACTGTGGATTATTTGTCCTTCTACTCCAATGAAAGATGCTTAACATAATTCCTCCAGATAGGATATTAGTAAAATAAGCTCAAAACACAAGAAGTGGAGCTTTGAGATTTTTGTTTTTAAATTCAAAGGTGGTACTTCTGCAAGGGACAGTTACCAGTAATTACTTTAAGTAGCAATAATAACAAACATTAACAGTCATTTAGCTAATGTAGGAAAGATACGCCAAATCACCTGCTGTGGGTTGTAGAGGCTGAGGGTCCGACTCTTCCAGGAAGACAAAGGGTGATGGGTCAGAAGGAGCCTGGGCTTCCATAGTCCTTCCTCCTGATCCTGTCTCAGTTCTAGAAACATATGAATCATAGGAAGGCACATCTGCTGTTCAAAGAGAGAAATACAGGCCTTTTAAATTTCATTCACACTGCAATGAAAGCCACTTTTACTTTTAATCTAATCATGCAAAGTGGCATGAAGACACATGCCAAAGGCTTAAAGATATTCATAACAGAGACAAGTATATATTAAAGTGAAAGCTGTCAAGATGTTCTCTAAAATTATACTACTTAGGCTGCTGCCAACTGTTGGAATAGAATGTAGTATCATCATAGAACTATAAAGTGTGGGAAAGGAATGAGAGAATCATTGTGGGAAAGGGTTTATGGGCCCACTGACTTCTTAAAATCTAACTGCAATGCTGACAATTAGCCATGTCCATCAAGTAAACATGTACTTATTGTGGGACTAATATACACCAAACATTGCTCCAGATGCAGTGAAGAATAAAGATACAGTCCCTGCTCTGAAGGAGCACACAGTCCAGTGTGGAGAGAAATCATTCAGTGAGTCAATAAGCAACTGTTTTTAACACCATTATATGCCATGCTTTGAGATAAGTACTAGGGAGCTCTCTCTCCTTTCGACAAGCTTACTTTTTCATGGGAGGAGACAACAAATATATAAAAATACATGTAGCATAAATGTAAAGATAATAAACTCAAATATATACAAAGTAGTTAAACAGAAGAACCATGATAGAACACCAGCAACTGGCAGGAAGAGAGTCAGGATAAGCTTTATGCACAAGATGATTCCTGAGCTATATCTTAAAGGAAGAGAGGTCCTTTCCGTGGCAGAAAGTGTCAGGCTCAATGAGGGAGAAAATAGGTGCTATCTCAGTTTAGGACATAACAGTAAAGGCCAGCAGAGTCACAGAAGGCCTCACAGAAGAGATAGAACTTAAATTCATCCCTAAAGGGGTGTGGAGAATTAGGCTACAGTGCACTTGATGGGGGAAGAGGATATTCTGAGTAAGTTAGGGCATAAAGGAAAAAGTGAGTGTGACACATTCATAGAAGAGTGAGGAAACTGTCCTGAAAGATGAGGGCAAACCTCAAAGTCAAACAGAGGAGTTCTAACTTGGTAGGACAGAAAACAGGAACCCTTGAAGTTTCCTCATGCAGGAGGGTAAAATGATGAAAAAAATATTTTAGGAATGCAACTGTGGCAATGGAATACAGATCTGACATAAGAAAAAAATGCAACAGAGACAGGAAGGGCCAATGGCTTGGATTAATCAGTCAATACTTATTAAGGACCTACTATGTGCAGGCACCGGATTTCACTCTGGGGATGAAAAAACAGACAAAAGACAGCCCCTGACCTCAAGGAGGTTGTAATCTAACAGGGGAGACAACATGTAAACAAATACACACAAAACAAATTATATACAGGATAAATAGGGAATAACTAAAAGAGGCAAGGTACTGGAATTACGAGGGGTTAGGGAAGGTTTCCTACAGTCGTTGGGATTTTAGTTGGGCCTTAAAGGAAGACAGGGAGGTCACTAGTCAGAGGTGAGGGACAGTGTTCCAGATATGAGGGAAAGCCAGAGAAAATGTGCTCAGCAGAGACATGGACATCTTTTTCACAGAACAGCCAGGAAGTCACTGGATCAAACAGTATATGTGGTGCAGTAAGGTATAAGAAGACCAGAAAGGTAAGAGAAGGCTAGGTTATGACCAAGTTTGAGAGAAAGGGACAACTATAATAGATTTCAAAGGGACAATTACCTTATTTAATTGATGATATAACAAGGTGCAACAGAACATGATGAAGCTTACTTCAATGTTTTGAAGCTGAGTTAACAGAAGAGTTACAATAACCAAACGCAGTTAAGTCTACTCTAACTGATATGAAGGCCCTATATGATTAGATCCCCTAGAGTACTTTACTCCTATGGAAAGTTTATATGCATATTAGTCTTTATAAAGATAGTCAAAGAGGCATCAGAATTAAGAATTATTGGCTATAAGTATCCTGACTATAATGATATTAAATCAATACTAGACTACTGGAAGGATACACACACACACACACACACACACACATGAGCAAAGATAAGAAGGGGAAGCAATGTAGTCCTTCAGCTAGATTAATATAAATTCACCTTAGTCTAACTACATGGAACACAGAGAAAACAGCTAATAGATTTAGAATGCATCAAGACTTGTTGAGTCCCTGTTATGTACTAGTGGCTAACAAAGACACAGAAATGAGTAAGAAAGGGGAGGGGGAAGTGAGAAAGGGAGGGGGAAGTGTCCAAAAAAATTGGAGGAGAGCAATGAAAGAATTAGAAGATAATGACTACAATGACAATATTTAAGGCTAAGAAAACTATAATAAATAGAAGAGTAATCAGAAGGGGACAAAAGCAAATAAGTTGTTAGTATTACTTTGTTAAAGTTAATGTTTCTTAAATATCAAAATATAAACCATAGTTTATAGTTTTATTTAAATTTGATTCCTAATTTTATTGCATTTAAGATTGTTAATAAGTTTAAAATAAAATTTTTGTAAAAGTGATTTCTTGTTCCTCAAATTTCTAATTCAATCTTTCCCCCACCATGCCTACAATATGTCATATGTCATCCCCACAACTAGATTATTAGCTAAGGACAGGGATTGTATCATTTCATCATCCTTGTATCCCAGAATTCGGCACAATACTTTACATGTAGTAGCTTCTTAATAAATGTTTGTTAGATATTTAAGAATTTGCATTAAAAATTTGATAGAAATGGAAAAACCATACCAATATTATCTTTTGAAGAATCCACATGCTCTGCAGATGGCGAGCTGTTCACCATGCCAGGAGAGACAAACAGCAAATCAGACAAGATTTGACCTTGGTACATCTGATAAGGATCTGAAATAGGGAACAAAAGCCAAGATTTATAAGTAGATAACATTTTTAAGATCAAGACAGACATTGTATTCTACTAAAAGAGGGTACTTATCACCTATTTTTGATGGTCACCCATCAAAATAAAATTAAACAAAAAAGTCCTTGCTGTCCAGGAGCTGATAATCAAAATCACACTAATAACAGTTAATGATAATGACATGAATGACATATCATTTTAAATATTCCATTTCAATACTATGAACAAAAACACTGCTAACTTTATACTGTATAAACTATGAACACTATATATTCTGGAAGGATAATGAGAACATGTAGAAGTTACCATTTGGATGGTTAAAGTATGAAACAGAGAGGAAGAGAATAATTTGATTTCCCCAGTATAGGGAAGAACCAACATGGACCCACTACCAACATAGATCAGCAATTCTCAGGATCCTAAGACAGTCAGTTGCCTAGGGCACTAACAGGTTAAGGAACTCAATTCTTGGTCACACAGTAGTATGTGTCAGAAGCAGGACTTGAATCCAGGGCCTCTGTGCTCCAAGGCCAATTTTATATCCACTAAACCAATTGCTCCTTAATGTATACATAAAAGGTAAATAATGGCTATGAAAACCAAAAATTCATCTCAGTAATTGTGTGCCCCATATACATTTAGATCAACAGGCTGACATCCAGTTTTAAAATTCACCAAGAGGTAACATAACAAATACAATTAAATACATTAATTGATAATAACTTTTAAACAAGCATTATTGTAGCTTCTGGTATTAAAAACTTGTATCCTAGAAGAGAGACAATTAAAGAAGAAATTATCTAATCACTACCATATTATAAAGAAAGTACAATCTCAATAACCATTTAGAATGAAAGGAGAGTGAGTAGCTGATATTCTTAAAATAAGAAAGCTTTCTAAACTTAGGGGAATGTAGCAAGTAATGGGATAGAGTGAGTAATGGAGTTCTTGCTGCCAGCATTACCAGATAGTCTTACGCCAGATTACATCAAAATGTAATGTGATGTACCATGCCAGTCAAGCAGATCAAGAAAAACGCCCACATATCAAAGAACAGCTTGGTGAAGCGAGAGCCTGGACTTGTCGCCAAAGTTCTTATGCCCACAGAATGGTAAGAATTACCTAAAGCCAAGAAACAGCAGCTAGCCTATGCTCTCCTTGAGATTTTTCAGAGGCAGCACAAGCCATTCATTGAGCTGGGAGTAACAACAGATGGATGATCTTTTACAGATGGATGATGTGACAAATAGGAAGAGCTAAAACTACTAACCTGAGAGGCATTTAAGAGAGTACAGTATTGTAGGGTCCTGCAGAAGAACGTGGAATTCTGTGGGAGAGGATATGAACATGTCCTTCTCCTCACTTAGGAATTATGCATAATTTTACATTTTAAACAGCTGACCTAACAGTGTATCCCCCATTTGGCACCTTTTTACCAGTCATGCTATGACAAAATACCAGGCAAAAACTATGAAAAACAGCCAAATGCCTACATTTTAAAAGGCTTCTGAAAAGACACCAAAAGGTAGTAACTTTTGATGCAATATGCATATTCATAATAAACCTGCCGGCTCACAAGAAGTTGCAAACATTTTAAAATGGATTCCCCTTTTAATCCTTACATCATTCTAGGGAGAAAGTGAACTATTTAAAAGTTGGTACAATTCAAAACTACAGGAAGCTCTGTTAAATATTATAGAATTTGTATAGGGTACAGTTCATTATTCAACATGCATAAAACCTGTTTTGGAGGCATCATCTATAATCAATCTCAAAACTGGGAGGTCATTTGCAACATTTAAACAGTTCTCTTAGAACCTAAGACAGGGGTACTTAACCTGAGGACTATGAACCAGTGTTTTATCTATGAAACACTGTAATGGGGGGGGGGGGAGAGAAGGTTTACATAGTTTGATAACTGTATTTCAATACTACTGGTTTCTTTTTGATCCTAGGTATTTCATTTTATGCAGTTTACAAATGTTATTCTAAGAAGAGCTCCAGTCTTCAATAAGATGGCCAAAGGAGTCTGATACTAAAAGGCTAAGAACCTTTGTCTTAATGGAAGATTCAAAAAACAACTTCTTCTCCCAGACCCTGTCTCAACCTATCCAAGAGCTACCCTGAATAATGTATTTTTAAAAATAATTCAGTACTGTGATGATTCAAAGAAACTGCTAGCAGATTAAGTCCTGCAGATATTTTAAAATAACATATGAGTTGAAACTTGGGGGTGCTATAGCTAGAAAGGCAGTCATGAGAAACATTTTTAGAAATAGAAAATGAATTTTTTCGTCTGTCCCAAATAATTCTGCCACACAAATTTTAACAGTAAAATGTAATAATCCCAGGGCTCTGTCCTGAACCCAGCAGTCTTTGGTCTTTACATCTTCTCTTCAGTGATCTCATCAACTCCCATGGATTCAACTATTGTCTCTGCAGATGGCACCCAAATCTGCATATGCAGCTTTCATCTCTCTTTTGAGCTAGAGTTCTGCAACTTCATCTGTTTGCTTAAAATCTCTACCTATATGGCCCACAGACATCTCAAACTCAATATATTTGTAGCCAAATTCATTCTCTCCCCACTAAATACAATCTTCTTACCTTCCTAAGTCTGTAACTCACTGCTTCCCCCTACCATATCCAGAATCAGTTGCTGAATCTTGTCAATTCTGCCTCCTCAATACCTCTTGCATTGGCCCACTTCTTTCCATTCACACCCCAATCCCAATAGTCCAGTCTCTCATCAATTCAGCCTCTTAATCAGTATCTCGGCATTCAGTCTCTCCCTTCCACAATCCATTTTCAACAAAGCAGTCAAAATGATATTCCTAAATCCAAGAATTGATCATAACACTTCTAAGAAATTTCTGTGGTTTCCCACTGCCCTTTGGATACAAAACAAGTCTCTTTGTTGGGCATTCAAAGCTCTTCACAATCTAGTTATCATTTAGCTTTCCAAGACTATTACACATTATTCCCCCAAAACAACGTACTCTACAATCCAGCCAAATTAACCTACTGACTGTTCCATAATTCATCTCTCGCTTCCATACCTGGATATCATGGAGATATCCATGCTAGGCATCAGTAGGCCTCACTCTCTTATCAACAATAACTTGTAAACACGAATCGCTGTAAAAGAAATGCAGAAGCAGTAAGATCAGAAAAGAGGGCAGGCTAACAATAATGAGGAATAACAGAAAGCTCATATACAATATTAGCACCCACATAATGTTAAAAGACCTACAGGGGAGACAGACTATGGAATATTGAGCGGAGGAAAAGGGTAAGAGTTACTGGAGAAGCCATGTATGGCTTGCAATCTGCTCTGCTGGAGGGAGCAGATGCACCACAGAGATGGTAGATTCACTGCAATAACAACATATATGGTACTCCTTGCTTGTCAGAAAGAAGAGAAACTAGAAATAAACATATACTATTGTCAGGTCTAAAATAGTTAAAGAGCTACTTCAAAGTTAAAATGATTCATATTTTGGCTAAACGCCTCATACATGGAAAACCCATGTGACAAGGGTACAAGTCACATGCTCAATAACTAGGTAATGACCTTCCAAATCCTTAGCTTATCCCTGAGCCTGCTTTTAGAATTTCCTCCCTTCTCACAGAAGCTGTGCTGACAGGAAGCATGACAATGCTACTGCTCTAAGGCGTTTTCTACAATGATAAATACAGACTGACAGCCTTTTCTATCAGGATATTTTTCATTTAAGCATTATTTTACATCACAATATAGCGGAAACAATGCTAGATTTGCAATTAAAGGACCTAAATTTGGATTCTGCCTCTCCTTACTGCCTGTACTAAAAACACATGATTGATACCACAATTCCTACCCAAGAAGTTTTCTTGGCTGAACAATTTGTTCATTTAACTTTTTTTTAATTATTCTTTTTTTAAAAAACTGAGTTCCAAGTTCTCTCCCTTCCCCACCCATTGAGAAGGCAATCAACATTTATCCATTTAACTTTAAAAATAAATGTTGCATACATTGCATTGCTAAGTTACATAGAATCCTAAGGTAATTCAGCACAGAATTGCAATAGCAAATAACTTAGCAATTTGAAAGACTGTATGAAAACTCCTGTACTTTTTATATTTTTCTGGTTTTCTGGACACATACTCAATTTTTTCCCTAGCACAACAGGTAAATTTTTCTCAATTCATCAAAAAACTGAAAATAATGGTGGATATAATAAAGAAAGACTTCTTATACACTGTGCAATGTAGTTCTATAGATTAAGCTAGAAGTACCCTTGGGAACAGTGCTCAAAATAACCCACTTCCTTCCAGAATCATTTCAGAGTCTGACATACTGAGATTAGACACTGTGCCTCATTCTGTTCTCTCTCTTCCCTCCCTCCCTGCCTCCATCCCTCCTATTAACCTGGATTCAGCCCTTAAAACTCCACAGGAAAAGACAAACTCCCACAGCAGAATAGCAATCATCCAAAGAAATAATTCCAGTATAAGCACAAGACATTCAAAATGTCTGATTCAGAATAGTAATAATGAATCAATCAAAAAAAAAACTTCAAAGCAAGAATCAATCAAAAAAAACTTCAAAGCAAGAATCAATGTATATGATACAACAGGAAATAATAACAACCATAATATTTATTCAATTAGGAACCTAATTAGTCTCATAGAGGGTAACAGGAGATTTAGACTGGTTTCTATTTTTTGTGAAAAAGAAAAATGCTTAAAAGAAAAGAGTGTCATTTAAATTCAACAACAAAGAAAAGTCATTAGCCAAGTACTCTACACAGTACATGCCATCACAGTCAATACGAGGAATAAACTTTTCCAAGGTAGAATGTATCACTTCTATGGCTATTTGTTCACTTTAAGAGTCACACCACAGTAGTTATCTACTGTGTGTAAAACACAGAAGGAGACAGAAAAATCACAGCAATCAGTCAACATTTATTAAACCCCTACATGCCAGACCCTGCGCCAA